ACATAAGTAAGGAATTTGTCTCTTAAATTTATAACTTTACCTTTGTCTGGGCCTGACATTCACTAAGACATTAAATATATTAATCATTGTCCAAATCTTACTTAAAAAATGCAAAAATGCATCTTTATTGTTGTTAATAATTAAAACAACCAGACCAAATATAGAGACACTAACTTTGCAGTAAGACGGATGTTTCCCAAACAACGTTAACTTTTACAGAATTTACACAATTTTATTTTCATCATGGAATCCAATGAGAAACCTTTAATCGTATATAGCTCCGACAAAGTTCCTTTGGGTATTCTTTCCTTTGGGTATCCTTCTGAGATAACCATAATAAAAAACGTGCTGCGTCCAATGTAAAAAGCCGAAGTCGCGTTTTAATTAGTTGAAACTCATTTGTTCAATTTAGTCAATAGTCTTTGTGCAGGATTTACGTCCATAGTATTTAAATCTGATTCAAGATACATGTAAATATGTTGAATACATGTTTTAATTTATTAGTTGCAAGACCGAAGGAGTGTATCTTGAGTGATGTTACATGTAACTTTACCAATCATTATAACATTTTAACTGATATGTCAATATCCAGATAAACAATTCAACAATGTGACGGCCGCACTCGACCGATGGTCAATCAGCTGTACACATCCCCCATCCCCGGCCACCCTGGCCAACGCCCAAGTGATAGTACTGGGAGCCTGGGTCAAAACAGCCATGCAAGAAAACCCAGTGGCACGCATCAAAGATTGCACCAAAACGACGCCATCAAGATACTTCTCCTTTGTTCGTTATTGGGAATGACGTGCCAATAACCTATCTGACTGCATTTTATTATATCATTTGTCCGTGACCCACCTTATGGGGATGCATGCCAGACCTCTCAACCTGTTACCTTTTCGCCTACATCTTTTACTGTGAAAGCTAAAGCCCATTGTCCATGTCAATCCGACTGTTTGACATATTTCAAAAGCAGTTTGTTCAATCAGACATAAAATTAAGAGATGCAATATACAAAAAGTCTTTTTTGTATGTCTGCCCAGGTTAGGTGGAATGATTTGTGCCCAGTGACCGTCAAGCTGGGTTAAATTGGTTCGAAGATCATAGCTACTCTACGTTTGGCAGTATGAAGTTTCTCATACTGTAGTGTGGACCATTAAAATATCTCTGTTCATGCGAAAACACACACACACACACACACACACACACACACACCAATATAATTGCTCATAGAGCAAGCAACTTGCGAAATTGCAAATTTGATTTTTTAAAACCCAAATAAATTAATAACATTAAAGAGTACACAAATGCGAATCATTTGCATTTTTTTATGTATGATACGTCATGTTTTAATGAAAATGAATGCAATATCGAAGAAAAATAAATTACTCGATCTTTTCAATGTGAAAAGTTGTGAAATTAACAAATAATGAACTTTTTTAAATCATAAATTCTTAAAATTAGAACACTTCTATTGAGTGGTAGCGACATAACTGAAAAGCGGGCTACCTTATAGTTCTATTTTACTCAGAAAAACACGACAGATGCTACACAGAAATTTATAATTAAATTAAATTAAATTAACAAGCTGTCTTGTTTGGTCGCTAGTGCTTAGTAATGGACATTGCAACACTTTTTTCAGCAGTCATGAAAGCAACTGTGTTTTGACACAGGTCTAAAAAAAACCATCCATTGTCTTAAATTACATACCTAGGGATTTCTAAACATTCGTATTGGTCATCTATCACTGTCTTTGAGGCATTCAGCCTCTTTTACAGACATTAATGATGACAAAACATCAGTTTTTTTTACACATGAACAATAGCTATGATCGTTATGAGAATCTAATTAGTTCATTCTGGGTTTAGATATAATCTTTCTACAAAAAAAGTATGAAACAAAAATCTCTAAGGTTGTGGCCTCTATGGCCGGACATTTTTCACTAAAAAAATAAATAAATAAAATAATCCCCGACTGGCATCTGGTATGAAGTACTTTCGAAATTACTGAATAGTATACTGTACAATGCGCATTTGTCCCTTCCTACAAAAGCATAAGAATTTCCAGGGAACTGAAACTGTCTACCTAAAACTGCTTGGATAATTGCGACCGTACTTGTTTTCGCGTTCAACATATTAATTTTCACGTAATGCTTAATAGCGTAATAACAGAAACCCAATAACTCACTAATTCCCCCTTCCCATGAATCAAAAATGGAAACATAAGGCTCATATACGTATTTATAGATCGTAATTCTATCAATATATTTGGATATGATACATGTTATTGTACACCTTGTTGGTTAAAGAGTGAGTGTAGAAATTCCAAGGCTATATAGAGGACTCTTGCACTGGATTTGTACGTAGTGCACATCGGGGTTTGTCTGAAAACTAAAATGTGTTAGATGAGCTCAAGAACGACAGATGCATTCCGTGTCCGTTTTCACATCGAGAAGTTTACTTCACCGATGCAACCCGCACTGGTTCTTTAAAAGAACTCCTAACACACTTCAGAGGGTTTTACTCCCTTTCACATGCACTCTGTTAGTTTGCTTTCAGCGGTTTAGTTTTTAGTTGATCAATTGGTCGAGTTGTGAGCGGAGATTCCGTTGAGGTGACTCTTCTACATAATGATCATGGTATCAAGATGTCAGTCTCTAAGAGTGGACTGGTCCAGATTGGATCAATTAGTACACTGCTAGATATGAAAAGGATATTAGAACTTCTTCTTCAAACCATCCCCTACCCCAACCGATAAACAGCTAATTAATTGATTTGGGTGTGACGCACGCAAGGCCAGTCTTGTTATAAACGATGGCATTTTGAGGGAGCAGCAAAAGAATGGAATGCACGTCACTACTACTACATATACTAAGAAGATGAAGATTTATCTTTGTACAGCGGCCTAATAATTAATAAAATTTTGAAATGACTGATGTCGTTCCTGCTAGATTAAACCAGGTCATTACGACCATTAGCAAAAGTGAATTTGTGTGTTCATAGGAAATGAAAAACATCAACATCAGGCTTCTATAATAATACATACCAAAATTTATTTCATCATTATAATATTATCATGTATATACAAAGCTATAGAATAACATACATTATTTTTATGTACATCTGTTTCATGGTAGAACGCTGGGCTGGCCGAGCGTCACAGCAATGGTCAACTTAAAATGACCACATATAATTCAGCGATATAGGCCTACGCACATGAATATTCCGTTTTGAGTTTTGACCAAAGAAAACCTCTGCCATTTCACTAATTGCATGACATATACATGTAGCATGGGCTTAATTGGTTTGTTTGCTTCACCATGCAGCGTTATTTACCAGTTCGGATGGACCTGATGTTCGCCTTTCTGTCTTCGGGATACTTATCTTTTATCCTTTGCTACCTTGACTTTTTACAATACCAGACAAATAATACAAAGAATTTAAGAGCACATAGTATCAAGACAGATTTAAATACTCATACTAGATATCATTTAAGCAAACATTATAAACATTATATTTAATAATAATAATAATAATAATAATAATAATAATAATAATAATAATAATAATAATAATAATAATAATAATAATCAAAAATCCGGCATGAAACTAACCAATGAAATCCTTTGTTTGTTGTTTACTTGCCAGCCCTGTGCTGTCTACAAGGCTACCAAAACGATAGTGCTTCCAAGATTAGCCTTCTTATTTACAAATAAAAAGAGATTTAAGCCAAAATGTTACATAACTCGTAAATAATGGGCTACAATATTTGAATACCATAAGTTTATAGAAAAGAAAGAAAGAAAAAAAAACAAGGCCAGCTGCCCACTCGTTGGTCAACTTTGTGAAGCGGCCTAATGAAGAAAAGCTAATCAAATCTATCGTCTACAGTCAATAGTGCTGGTCAAATTGAAGGCGTGGAGAGTATTGCCCAGTCTACACAGCAGACGGAACCTGGATAGGATTTGACATTCGTCCCATATACTAACCCCAATACTCCAACTAACCCTAACCTGTAATAATCATATGGGAGCCCGGACTTCCATTCCTAGAGCTTCCATTTCTGTTACACCGGCTTCTAAATAGCTCAAAGCCGTTACTCATAAAGGTGAAATCTAGATCGATTCTGGACCACCTTCAAGCTGGTTTGATACATAAGTTGATAAGTTTATTTCACGTCGGTTGGTACATGTACGATGTAGGCTTACTTAACTGAAGGAAGCAAGATTCGTTCTACACATTATAGCATTTATTTTTAATAGGATATTTTCAAACAATGAGCACTGACCGATTACCATAAAAATTGGATCATACATGTATTGTGGGGCCATCCACGACATTACCACCTCCTGCGACCTCCAAATCATCTTTGATGTGTATGATTTATTTTTATTTTCTATTCGATGCACTTACATCGCAGGTTGTCAGGTAGTTGCTGTAAATGATGAAACGGTCTTTATGGATGTTAGCAGAGGCTCAATTAAATAGATTTAGCACAGACGTAATGGCAACAGAATCATATGACCCATCGTTTTGAACGGGCAGAAAGCAATGGCGAAAGTAAACTAATTACAATCCTGTGATTGCAGTAGATGATACCACTAATGTAATAACCAGCCAATTATCTACACGCTGACTCAAAGTCAGGCCATGGGCTGCTAAGGATGTCGTGAAATATCTTACATCGTTTGTCTGTACTATTATTGTCTATCACCGCTCTGCGTCTGAATGGCAGTTTCTCTGTCTCGTTTCTGGTGCGTTGCTGCCATATCCGTACGAGTCAGCGTGGCTGTCTGCATCGACCATAGCGGAACAGCGGCCGCCAGATCGCAGACAGTTATCTGAAGGACGCGTATGCCGATTTTTAAGGAGTAGCCGTAAATCCTCTATCACTAATAAATGGCGGCTTTACACTATTGTCACGTAAAGTGCAATATACATGTACAAGTATAAATCTCAACTATCACAACCGCAAATTTGCATCAGTACGTTCCGTATCCCTCAGCGACTCGTGGCGAAACTTAAGATTAACGCAAAAATAGCACAGTACGTAGACAACACAGAACATGCACAACCCGAATCAACAGAATAGTCTTGGACGGTCGCTTTTTGTTCTACTTCAGCTAAGCATTTGCGTAAGGGGGGTTGGAACGACGTTGGTCTGTTGCTAGGTGACGACGGTTGCGCGCCGTCACTTGGACGTTGTCCTAGGTAGAGTTCGGTGCTCCGGTGGGTCGTTTCCAGCTTCAGTATTTCATATTCCACGTACGGCACCGAAACGCCAAGTCGAGTACACCCGCCCGTGTCTTGAACATCTTGAAATGCTCCGGTCTCCCATTTTCCAGGTATGCCGCACGAGCCCACGGGCTCGGCGTTCAGATTGTTAGCATATGTCTGCGTGTCAGGCCGAATCTTCATCACGGTGACGCTGAACTTAAACTCGCGCGCGCCCGGAACTTTCGCCGAGGGACCCTCGTTCGTGAAAGTCCCGCTAGCCGAGAGGGTGAAAGACGGCTCAGCGCACAGGGGATCGGTGAAGTGACTGTAGAAGCCATGCCACGTGGAGTCTTCCAGGTTGAAGTGAAGGCGACGCTTGACGAAGATGGAGTTTGGACGGGTCTCGCATCGCGTGCTGATCCAGTCTCCATCGACCGTCCCTCTCTCCACGGATTTGACACGGAGACGGGGAGGCTCGAGCTCGTTGGTGAACTTCATTTTATCACAAAGGTGACAGCCGTAGCTCTGGAAAAGAGACATAAGTTTGGTTACAGGTGTCAGATATATACATTTAACCAAAACGACCCGAAAGAACATTTGCCTTTTATCTTTTTTAAATCTGTAATTGAGCATATACGTACTTGTAAAGGCGCCGTATATAATGGTGTATGTACACGTTCACCATATATGGTGACAAATTAAATAAATAAATAAATAAATAAATAAACATTAATTGGAAATTGGTTTTTTTTTCCTTGGTAAATAAGATCATTAACCATAATATCAAATCCAGTTATGGTCGGTATAACAAGAGAGACTATGGAACAATCTACTAGCATCAAACATGTCTTTTGTCGTCATTATTGCCCATGTTGAAGAGTTTCAATATTGACAAGATCGCATAATTTACATGTATTTTTACCAAGTGCATGCTTTGCATCCACAAACCTGCATAATTAAGTCGATTACTGTACGTTGGCTTTATTTCAAAGATACTAGCGAATAAAATCGCGACGGCTGTTGAATTTGGCTTTTTTTTAGACAAGCAAACAGACAGTGCGTACAGAGTAGGTAGGGGCGATGGTCTTCGATTACACTTCCAAGGAGACAGAAGACCTGAGGCGAAGTAAAAATAGCAAGGAGGATGCGGAGTTCTTTGTTTTTACATGTTCGAACGACATTTACATTTCTCGGTGGTAGGATTAAAACCTTGTTTGAGAGACAGAATTAAGTGAGAAACGGGCTGTCTGGAATATTATACCCCTTTTAACCGAATCTGAAAAACAATTTGCTTTTCAATTATTAGACGCGATGACCCTGAAATCTGACCTTGTTCACCGAGCGTTCGTTAAATGACTATTAGTAATAACACACTGTCACAGAAAAGAGCAGGACGCCATGAATTTTTGATGATCAGAACCGATGACTATAATACCAGGGTCCGCTGTTACTATATAATGGCGTATATTCTGGATTGTTATTCGCATTTTGTTTAATACAGGGGCCTGGCCACTGCTGTTGCACTTCTGGAACGGACATGGATATTTTAGCGGCTCCTAATCTCGCGGGAATGCGCTCTTCTGGTCAACGTGACAAAAAGCAAGCAATCGAACAGTAGGCTCGTGTTTCTGATTTATTTATATAGCCATTAGCCATGTCTGAAGGCACACACATATCTCTAGATGCACGTTCTTGAATTTACGCAATTAATTCCAAACAATAAAATCCTTTACATCTTCGTCTGTCTGGCGGCACTGGGTGTCCAAATATAGCTTACCCCTACTGTTCGGCGCAATAAATGTTGTATTCAAATGAAAGGCTATATTCAAAATATTAGCAGAACTTCTTAAGCTTAACTCGTTAAGCAACTGTGACGTTTGTACCCTACCGCGTCTGAAGAATGCAAAAATGCACAAACGTGACCTTTTGTATTGGATAGGGGATTGGACAGTTTGATCTGGTAATTTATCCACTCGTTTTTTTAAATATCATTTTACTGACACTTGGATTTGTTTGTATTTTATTTTAAGAAAAGACGCTTATGTGGGAGTTATAACTGGTTCCTTTATTGATGATTTGTTCAGCCCAGCAACGGTTTCGCTTAAACCGCTTAGTCAAAAGCTGAATTAAGCACACCGCTTGCTCATAAAAACTGACCACAGTGGCGGCTTAATCAACGCCGTTGAATCAAACACAATAAAACCATAAAAACTATACTGGTTTCCCTGTGTAAAGAAAGGCTGTATCTGGGCGGTCTGTTTTATGCACAATTTTACAAGATGCTTACAAGACCTTAGGTACACTGTACTTTTCGGATACCTTTTGGGCAGGGTAGGAAACGAACACCCCTACTAACAATACACCAATCTCGGAGAAATTTCACATATCTTTTCTTTCAAGTGTATTAAAATATAAATTCGAAATGCTTTTATACGCAAACATTAAGCATCGATACGCTAATGCTTATAAAACTACAATTCTTGCTAGGCAGTGGGCTGTATGTAACGCGGAAAAAACATCGAATAATCCATAGTGAGCTTTTTAAAGAGTTGATTACCACTTGAAATTCGACCCCATTAACTATATGTTCGCGTCCGCGTTACCTACGATGTTAATTGCGTTAATGAGCCACGCTAAAAATGTTAACAGTCTCAGATTACTAATCACACATCGCTACTACAGATTTTTTTTTTTCATAATGCTAAGTCCCATGAAGCAGTTTAAGTTTCAAGGTGCCTGATGCAAAAAAATAGAGAATACTAATTTCATTTCATCGGTTACATTTAATAGAAGTCTTCGCGTCACCCCTAGTGAATGTAATGATGTATGGTTTTTACCAGTGGAAGTTCAAAATGTGCACGAGAGAGAGAGAGAGAGAGAGAGAGAGAGAGAATTTTGCAGTGTCTTCCACAGCGTTAGTAGAGGAGAAACGTGAGGAGAAACAAATTGACTACATGCTTTTCAAATAATTGCCATCCCTTCAAATGAAATGTTTAGTGCAGTTTGGCAGAAGTTCTGAGAAAGCACTGATGACCTCTATTCTTAAACACATGTGCATCTGAGGTTTGTTTTTGCCAGTTTGCACTAATGATGAGACCTACTTAGTGCCCGCTGCAAATAACAGATGACCAAAATATGTAATTAATTGTCTTAGATTAACATCGTCAGTTATTAAGAGTATAAGGGCCGTCTAGTATTTGTGTGAAAAATATGAATATTGCAGTCTTGTAAACGAGGTTCTTACGTGGATAAAACAAAACTTACGTCTGTCCTAACGAGCGGAGGTTGGAACCCTTTGGGTCGGTACGAGGCTCTCTGTGTTTTGTCCGTGTGGATGTCACCCAGGAACAGTTCCGTCTTCAGTCGTCGATGATGATGGCGCTGTTCAATGCGAATAAGTTGCAATTCATGTATACTGAAGTACAAAACACTAGTACAATCTCGGTCTAGCACCACTATGCCGTCTCCGCCTTCCGAGCCGACTTCAACATAGTTGTAAATGTCGTAAGGGCTGTAGGAACGCCATCTTGATTTCACCAATTCTGGGCAGGTGCTGTTGATCATTCTTTCCAAAACCATGGTTTGCCTCTCTTCGTAAGGCGTCAGGGTCACTTGAGAGAGTTGATAATCGACTTCAGCCGCCCCTGGTATCGTCCACGAGTCCCTAATGTTTTCTAATTTCCCGCGCGAGACCACGCTGTAGAGTGGGACGGAGCATGCTGGGTCGGCGTAGAAATACTGGTGAGCGGTGTAGCGGCTATCGTTCTGAAATTTGTAACTCCGCAGAAGAAATTCTGGTCCAGGTCGCACTTCGCATCTGAAAGATAATGATAATGATACAGGGTTAATAAATTGTATGTCAAGTGTATATCAAAATTACTCGTGCATTAAAAAAGAAAAGAAATAAATAAATGAATAAATAAATAAATTAATTAATTAATAAATAATAACAGGAAGTCAGTTTGGAGCTCGATCCAACCTATGAAGCTCATAATGGTTATTGACGATAAAGAATGACTAATTTAACTAGTATATGTCAGACAAAGTATTTTCGTAAGGATTTAAGCGTGCTTAAAAGTTTCGAAGAGACAGTGGGGTTTAGGGTGACGATCTCTTAAATCTGCCCAAAGTACTTAAGACCATGCGTTATTCAATAGTATGAAATAACAGATCGTCACCCAAGCGTTTCATTGATAACTTGACAACGCGCGCACGTGCATGTTCCACGAGCGTTCTCATGCAAGAGCCAAAAGGGTGGGTCGTATCTGATTTTCTTGATTCTGCTGTCAGTTCTTAATGAATCACACATGATAAATTAAGTTAAAACAATGGCTTTTTAAAGACAGGCCGTCGATCAACCTATTAATTACTTGTCTCTTTCACTGTATCAAGATCTTTTAGTAGAATTTTTTCACCTTATGGGCTGATTTTAGCGACCTTACACAATGAGAAACGAAGTCATTAATTTCAATGAAAGTCAAACAAGAGACGAATAAATGACATTCAGAATTCTCATTGCGTAGCTATCTTTTTTCATAATTTCATTGTGGGAGATAAAATAACACTGGGGCACCAGGCGAATAGAGTAGAAAATTGGATTTATTATCTGACTGGCCCGGAGTCGAGGAGAGCAGGGTCCCACTGGACCTATGTAGTGATGGAATTGCCACGTTTTTGATTGTCTATATTAAAACGTTGTTTTTATCGAACCCTTTCTCTCCCAGCCCGCGGTGCAAATGCACCTACACAATATTCAAGCGATATCAGTGAAAATGCAAATATCAGCAGAAAAGCTGGCATAGTGAAATGCCAGCGGAAACTATCAGTTTTCCTTATTGTGTCCGTCTGTCCTCAGGTCAGTTTTACAGTTTTTTTTCTTTCATTCACTACCTCTGCTTACGTAGGCTCAGGTTAGGTATTCATCGGTCTTGGTTTGTCTACGCACGCACGTGTGTGTGTGTGTGTGTGTGTGTGTGTGTGTGT